CAATTGTGCTGCTAAAAGACAATCTCTATGCACTGATATCATCCACCACTCTTCCCTTAGCCATTTACCGTGGCTCATTGTGGGTGATTATAATATTATTTCGCACTCTAGTGTGAGATACTAAGGCTCAAGGAATGGTGTCTAGCATTTTCAGAGATCAAGGAATGTTTAAATAAGGCTGAGCTTAAAGACGTTAAGTTTAGTGAAGCTTGTTTTCCTGGAATAACTATGGGTGATGTAAATATTGCTAGGAAGATAGATCGAGCCCTAGTCGACTGTATTTAGAGCACTATTTTCCCTTCATCAGACAGCAAATTTTTTCCTCCTAGCGTTTTTTACCTCAGTTCTATCTTGGTTTCCATTTAGCTTAATATCCCTAGAAGGTGCATACCCTTAAGATTTTTAAATGCTTGGTGCTCTCACCCCATCTTTCTTTTATCTATTTACAGGGTTTAGACTTCTTATACCAAGGGAACTTCTATGTTCCAGGTTATCCAGAAGCTCAAATGTCTCAAAGCCACTCTTAAAACCAACTGTAAAAAGTCCTCAGATGTTGATTCTAAGCTGTAAGTTGTTAAAATGGAACTTGACTCATGCTAGTATGATCTTCATTACAATCTCAGGGATGTGAATCTCAAAATGATTAAACAAACTCTTATTCAAAAGTATTTCATACTTGCCAAAGCTCACTAAGGCAGAAATCCAGAATGGTGTGGCTCAAGCTTGGTGACTGTCATTCCTCATATTTCTATAAATCCTGCATTTCCAAAATCAACAGAAAGATAATAGACTCCCTTATCTGCTAATGGTCAGTTAATTGAGGACATAGATGGCATCAAGTAGGAGGTACTGAACCATTTCTAAAATTTGTTAGACTCTCAACCCACATCTACACACTCCATCAATGACCTCTCCCATCTTTTAACAATCTATTCCCTCTAATCTTCACCTCTTATTGGATTCCACTCCAAGTTCTCATCAAATCCAAAGTTGCATTTTCTCTCTTAATATGGACAAATCCCTGACCTAGATGGGTATAATGTCCTCTTCTTTTAGCACATGTGCCACATTATTGGCAAGCCCGTCACTAAAGCCATTAATGAGTTACCAACCGGCCAGTGGCCTAGCGATATCAGTCTCTTACTTCCCAAAGGGAGGTCAAGGGTTCAAGTCTCGGAGGAGACATGTGTGTGTGAGAGTAACCAACTATGAAAGAAAAAAAAATTAATAAAGCCATTAATGAGTTATTCAGGAATGGTAAACTCATTAATGAAGAAAACTGTACCTATATTTCCTTGGTTCCCAAGTGCCAAACCCTTTCAACCCTCAATGACTACAAACTTATTTCTTATTGCAATACCATCTGCAAGTAAATAGCTAATCTTCTAGCAACCAAACTTAAGTCTTCCCTTCCTCATATTATTAACCCTTCTTAGACATCTTTTATTCAATGAAGGAAAATCAATATCTATATTCCTGGATCATGAATTGCTTAGAGGCTACCACAAGAACAGCCCCACTCCAAGGTGTTCCATCAAAATTAACTTGATGAAAGCCTTTGACTCTATAAATTGGGACTTTATCACTAACTATCTTACTTTTCTCAGCTACCATCCAAAGTTTATTTCCCTTATCAAGGTTTGCATTTCATCCCCCTCATTTACCATAGCTTTAAATGGTGAATTCCATAGCCACTTCAAGAGTAAAAGAGGGCTTAGGCAAGCGCACCTTATCTCTTCATTCTTATTTGTCATACTCATGGATCCCCTTACCTCTATTATTCTAAACTTTATTGCCAGGAATCCTAACTTCAGGTATCACTAGAAATGTAAAGACCTGAAAAACTCTCAGTTCTCCTTTGCTGATGATATGTTTCTCCTATGTTATGAAGATCTTGCCTTAGTTTCCACTCTCAAGTCAACACTTGATCTCTTATGTGCCATGACAGGCCTTTCAATCAACCTATCTAAGAGTTCTGTAGTCCCTTTTAGAGTTGATCCCATCACTAAACAGGCCATCTCTTTGATCCTTGTTATAAGAATTGGAATTCTCCCCCATCAAGCACCTTGGGGTCCTTTATTCTCTACTATCCTCAAATCTTCATATTGTAGAAGTCTTATTGAAAGAATCATTTATAAAGTTACTCACTGGTCTTCTAGATCTCTATCATATGTTGGGAGGTTACAACTTATCAATGCTGTTTTGGTTTCTACTCAAACTCTACTAGTGCAGATATTCATCCTTCCTAAAGGGGTCATAAATGAAATCAACAAGTTGTTCAAGTCATTCCTTTAGTCTGGTATTGAAATGAATAGTACTGGGGTAAAGGTTGCTTGAACTGCTATTTGTAAGTTCAAAGTTAAAGATGGTCTGAGAATTCCAAACTTAGAGTTATTTGACAAAGCAGCTATTATTAGATATAATATATGGGCAAATTTCTCAAAACCCCCAATACTATAAAAAAAACTGATCATAAAACACCAACCAGTTTTAAAAACCCCCAATAATATAACAACATTATCATTTTACCCCAAATCTGTTATTTGGGACCGTTAACCCAGCGCGTGGTTAACAATTGCTTTGCCAAATTGACTTTTGTGACTAAAATACCCCTGGTGTCACATGTGCCAAACAAGTGATATATATTTATACGTGTTATTCCGACAATACCCCGACCATAATTGTACTTATTTTTGGCACGTGAGCTACCTCGCCTAATTGTATTTATTTTTGGCACGTGTTCTTGTATTTTTTACACATTGCTAATTATAAAAAAGGGATTATTCCTAAAAAAATGGGATAATAGAGGTCAAAGCACAAATTCATGGAGTCCAAATCAATTCTTCCAACTTTACTAATTCACCACCTTTGGTTTCGCCACTGTCAACTATCATCACCGTTCTACCTCGCTCGTCGATTGGGTCTCAGTCACTGGCATCGATCTGAGTTTAGTCCTTGCTCAGTCCGATGTCGGCTGTCGAAGTCTTAGGCTCTGATCGCCAGCATTCTGTTTCCTCTATCAGTTTAGTTCTTGCTTGCCGGAGTTCTCTCTGTTTCTCTAGACCGCTAACCACCAACTGCCAGCGGCGAGACCCATTATTGTTTCAACTCCGGCGATTCCTCCTCTTGATTCGCCACTGATTACTCTCTCTCTCTCAAACCTCCTCTTTCTCTCTTGATCGAGTCGATTGGATTGTCTCTACATTTGTGATTGGCCTGGTTGTGTGCACACTGAAGAGAAGCGAAATTATATGCTTTTTAGGGGAATTTTCAAATGAGTCGGTGGATAACCGGAACTGGTATGTACGGTATTCATGTGTGTGGATCAGTTGATCTTGGAACTGCGTTGTGAGGAAGAGGAAGATGCATGGGGAGAGAGTGTAGGATTTGGGGGAGTCTCAATTTGGAAAGAAAATTGGATTTTGGAGGAGAGGGAGGAGGTGACGGAGGATTTGGGGGAGTATAGAAGGAGGAGGTGGTGGCGGCGTCGGCGACAGTGGCGGGGTCACTGGAGAAGTAGGAGGGAGTGATGTGGGTGACGTGGCTGAAGAAGAAGCCATCCACGTCACCTAGAAAGGAAGAGAAACGTTGGATCAAAGAGGCTAACGTGGGGCCTGATATTTCTATCTTCTGTAATGTAAGGTCATCCATGGCTGCTGTGCTAGAGAGAGAGAGAGAGGAGTGAAATTTGTGAAGGCTAGAAATTAAGATTGTAATTTCAAAAATATGATTTTTGTACTAAACGATAATATTGTAATTTCAAAAATATGATTTTTTGGTTTTTTAAATAAAAGGGAATATAATAAGGGTAATTTAGTTATTTCACATACCCTTAACGGCCAATTGACAGAGTTGGGGTAAAATGATAACGTTGTTATATTGTTGGGGGTTTTTAAAACTGATTGAGATTTTATGATATTTTTTTTTATAGTATCGGGGGTTTTGAGAAATTTGCCCTAGATATATTTGAGACCTTCTCAATGATGATAATGGAAGAATTGGAATAAAATGGTGAGGGTTCGGCTGACACAAAAAAAAAAAAAAAAAAAAAAAAAAAAAAAAAAAAAAAGAAGGGGATTATATAAGAAGTATGACAAAAAAAAAAAAAAGAGGTAGAAATTAAAAAGTAAAACAAATTAAATTTTTTTTTGAATTATTTAAATCTCTTGTCATCTTGCTGTAGACAACAGATCTATGGCCAACCATCACTCTTAGAACAGCCTCTGCAACCTTTGTAATGCCCTTCCAGAATCACAAAATCTTCTATTTTTCAAATTTTCTTTGACTTCTCCTTTGTGGAAGTTCATCCTGGTGAAGTGCCGAACCAACATCAACAAGTAATCATGGGATGACATAGTCAGTTGGTGTGGCTCGAAATGGAAAATTAGTAATCCTAGTAATAAGGTCTCCATGCTTTGTCTTTCAGCATTAGTCTACCACTATTGGGAAGAAAAGAATGTTAGAAGTTAGAACCTTTCAAAGGAAATTTAGATGCCAAGGCTCTGTTTTTGGCCAGGATTTCTGATATTGTTCGCTCAATTCTAAAACTAGGGTTCCCCGGGGATGATGATGCCTCCGAATCCTTTTCAATGATGGGAATCTGTAGCCGTCCTGCTGTAGACATCCTCCTCGCCCTACTGATTAATCATGGTGGAACTCTTAGCTCCAATCGCCTTCAATGGCCACATCCATATAGCTCTCAATAGTTAAACCGACCGTTATTGATGGCTATATATTTTGCTTTTGCTTTTGCTTTTTGGGCCAGTTTGGGCCTGGTATTATTGTTCTCTATCTTGTGTTCTTTTGAGATCCAATTTGGGCTTCTTTTGGGCCGACGACACTTCTTGTACTTTTTTCATTATATATATATATATATATATATATATATAATTGGTTCAAAAAATAGAAGAAAAAAAAATATTCTCTACTGCGACCACATGGTCCACAATTCACATGTGATTATATTAAAGTTTGCAATTAAGATCGGGGGATAATCTTACTCGGTAATACTCTGGGCCACGAGATGGAGAATCTGAATGCATCCAATCCTATATCTTTCATCAGACTTATATCCTCCTGTACCATGGTGTCAGTAGTTGCAAAATATATATATATATATATATATATATATATATATATTGTGGATAAATTACATTTACATTCAGTTGAAAATAAACCTAATAAAAACGTGGTTACAGGTGACAACCACCCTCTAGAACTAGTCAAAAATTTTGACGGGGTGAATTTACCGTTCTCCTAAGCGAAAAAGATGTTAATAGCCTCTTGAAATTAATAAAATTACAGTTAGCAAGCCAAGGAGTCAACCACACACATTTCTAAGGACGTCAATGGGATAGATTTGCTTGCACAAAAAAAAAAAAAAAATGGGGGGATAAATTTAAATGTCCTTTCTTAAATATTGTGACTTTATTTTAGATATATATATATTGTCATTCTCCCTCATATCACTCTCTCGAGAACACTGCACATATCATCAATCATCTCTGTATCCATCTCTAGATAATTTTTTTTTTTTTTTTTAATCTCTAAAAGTTCACTCACTCGTGCCCATTCCCAAAAAATAACAATAATAAATTAGACATGACACAACATATAAAATTATATGTGATAAAACATATTTATCTTCCCTCACTTTTTAGGTCGGTCAACCTGAAATCCCGCTAAATCAGAACTAAACCATCTCAAAATAAGAAAAAAAAGAAAAAGGGGGACAAATTTAAATGTCCTTTCTTAAATAGTGTGACTTTATTTTAGATATATATATATATTTTGTCATTCTCCCTCATATCACTCTCTCGAGAACACTGCACATATCATCAATCATCTCTCTATCCATCTCTAGACAATTTTTTTTTTTTTTAATCTCTAAAAGTTCACTCACCCGTGCCCATTCCCAAAAAATAACAATAATAAATTAGACATGGCACAACATATAAAATTATATGTGATAAAACATATTTATCTTCCCTCACTTTTTTGGTTGGTCAACCTGAAATTCCGCTAAATCAAAACTAAACCATCTCCAAGATTTGGGATAAAGTATTGTGACATAAAAAATAATGTGCATATATAGAGTCTACACTTTCAAATCCACCAAAAGAAATACATAAACTGCTACAAATAACAATTTATTGTACAATCATAATGTTCTATGTAAGTAAGAGCCTTAGATTTGGACGTTACATGTACTTCATGCTGGGTTTAGAAGTATTGAATGTCTTAGATACAGAATTAAAAATAATACAGACGAATTCGGAATTAAAAATAATACAGAAGAATTACATATTAGTCTTACTTTTATCTCTTAAAAGATACTGTAATTAAGTCCTAAATTTTTTTAATTAGGATAAAGAATTCCTACTTTTGACATTTAGGCTCCGTTTGTTTCGACGTAAAAATATTTTTTTTGAAAAATATTTTTCTTTTTCAAGTAAAATATTCTTTTATTTTTACTTTGTCGATATTTAGCAAAGTTTTACATTGAGATTGAGGTCGAGCCCATCAGACGGGACATATAAAATAACGTGTTGAAAATTTATGAATAAATTACTTTTATTAAATTTTAATATTTTTTTTCTTCATAAATATTTTACGACAATTAAATTCAAACAAACGGAGTGCTAACAAAGTTGCATGAAAATTTGAATGTCTCTTTGACCCACACTTTTGATGTATTGTTGGTTGGATATTTTATGGCTTTTAAACGGCAGCCCAAAGGTTGTTTGCACCAATGTATCATGTGATATCGTCAACATATATATCACATTGTAATGGTTATGTGTTACAACGAAAAATTTGTCCCATATCGGATTTGGATAGGGGAGTGATTCGATATATAAGAATTGGGTGTTACCTACACCTAATACCTTAGGTTTTTTAGTCGGATCACAAAATACTCACCCGTTATAATTGTTATCGAGACCCAGTTCTGAACTATTAAATTTTAATTCCACCTAATAATTTATTCTTTTAAATAGGATCGCGAAGTACCAAACCATTACATTATACCTTGATAGTCTAATAATAAGGGCATTTTCATATTTAAACTTACTTGGAAATTGATATAAAAAATAGGACTACTTTATCCAACTAAAATTTTATATGATTTAATTATCTTTAAAGTGTGAAAATTTTCCTAATAATAATCAGTTCAAATATCAAAAAAAAAAAAAAAAAAAAAATTCATATCAAATCCAAATCAACAATTCACGACTCCCGACGTAGGCAAATGTAAATGACAATCACTGCAAAGGATTGAATCTTATCACGAAGCCACAAGTAGACGACTCCTCCATACTAAAGTAACTAAACAATGCATCATATAACAGAATATCCAATGGCCCCAATATAGTGTTTGTTTGTAGACAAGTATATGTATATACTAGTGTATAATGTATATATATTTTATGAAAGTAGGGGCAAGAAGATAATTTTGCTTGGCGCTTTAGTCATTTCACTTGTAGGATATTTTTAAGTTAAAAATGCATTATAAAATAAGGACAAATAATATTTTAATTTAAAAATAATACTTAAGTACTCAAGGATTTATATCATCTCACCACATATGCGTCACCAACGTAAATAGGATGATCGGTATAATTAAAGTTAATTTAGTGTTGTAAGGGCAAATTATGCAAATGTGAGTGTAATTTATCCTAATTTTATAGGGCACAATCACCTCTATTTTTAATTATTTCTGAATAACCCATATACCTTATAATGATGATAAAAATCATTCGCTACATCACCAGTACTGTGGTCCTCAATTTTTTCTGTCAATATTACACATACTGGGTTAATGATAAAGCAGCACCGTACGTGATCAGTTAAAAAATCCGTGTGTGAGAGAGAAACCTGGATGCTTGTGTGTGAAGGTGTCCCACATACTGGGTTTTCTACCATCTCCAAAAGCTTCTCCTTCGTACTGAGGGGACATCAACACACGATTACCATATGAAATTATGAATAACACGGCCAAATTAAAAATACAATGGAAAAAATAGATATGTACCACATAAAATATAACTCATGTTAGGTACAATTCAAGATGGCGCAACCCAACTCGATTCGGATTGAGGTTGGGTTGGGATTAGACTAGGTTGGGCCAACCCAACTTACAACCCTACTCACGAGACAAAACGGGTCAAAAACAAACGAGGCTGAAACAGAATTACAGCCACAAAATCCCCATCTTTCACTTTGGAAAGTTGAGAATACTACTGGATTATAGTTCCTCAATGGTTAAGTATATGAATACAAGGCACGTCGGCAACTCTTTATATATATATATATATATATATATATATAAGATGGTTTAAGTCAATGCTTGCTTGGGACAATGCAATTATCTTTGCTGGCATACCTGATACGACGAGGACGCCGCTCCAAATACAAATCCATCAGGAAAACTGCTCCGACTTAGTTGATCTGAGTGCTGAGGACTGCATTTCACACCTCTCGCCCCACCCAGATAGTGAGTCATGATCAGGACCAGCAAGCAGAAGAGGAGGGGACTTTTAATTTCCATAGGCGACTTTACAATCTATGGTCACTATATATATATATATATATTCATGTACTAGCTTTTCCTCATACCACAGTCCACCTCCTTGACAAAATATATACTTACATTCCCCAACTGTCATTCAATGGGAATTAGCTCAATATATATAAAATATTTATATATTGCATGTCAGAATATATTGATTGAGGTGAGACACGAATCTATATATAGATATGTTATAGATATGTTGGGGGCTACGCTACCACTCTTAAATATATTCTGTAAGTTTTCATTATTAAACTGGTTCTTGTCTATCCTCTCATTTGAAAATTTTTACATATTTTTTCCAAGGGCAACGAATTTTTTATTTTTGGACAAATACAAGGACCTCTCTCATAATTTGTCTTTCTTATGATTCGAAAATTTAAATGAACTTCTCTTTAAAAATAAAACTAACCTACAATGTTAAGATGCAGAAAGAATTGTGTGACGTCATGTACATTAAGTAAAATGTCTATAGTATCCTTATTCCTCCACATCAGCAAAAATTAATTCAGAATTGACCAAAACATAAGTCAGCCAGATGACTACGATAATTGGGTCACTACAGCGTTGACGAGGACGGCACTGGTGACGGAGTTGTTGCTTCGGCTGAAACACTGATCAACCTCTTTATGTTTTGCCACCGAAAATTTTGTATGGCGGAGTTGGGGAGCAGGAACGGAGGGACAGTTTGGGAAGAAGAAGAAGTATGGTGGAGTCGGGGAGCAGGAACGGAGTGACAGCTAGGGACATGAAGGTTTCAGGACGAACACTTGCCTCAACACCTTCCTTATCTCTCCTCTTCCGTCTTCTCTCCTGCGGCGAAGCTCCCTCGCCACTATTTCCAACCGCTCTCTCTCTCTAAATATATATATATATATATAGATTTTCTCAGATTAATCAATTAAGTGACAACATACTTGGGGAATCTTCTTCCAATTTACTATAAATACATCAAAATAATTTATATTGATTGACGTGATCAACATTTTTCAGATGTTAACTAAATGGACCTCTTCAAATTTCAAATGTTAATGGCAGAGTGAATCCAAATTATAAATTTGGCTTTTGGTAATTATTTAAAATGACAACATACATAATTATATTGTTAATACAAAATATATATGCAAGGGACAGACTAGCATCATTTGTATTGAAAGAGTTGTTTGACAAACAAAACAAAAAAAAACGAAATAAAGGAAACAAAAATTAATGTGAATAAATTCGATTCTCATTTTACTTCATAGGAAAATAAACATTACATTAAATGTACAAAAAAAAAATTAAAAAAAATAAAAATAACCATATGGTTAGTGGTGTTAGAATGTCTGTTTCATATGGCTAGACAAGCCTTTTTCTACTTGCTTAACAGCAATTCAAATTGCAAGTGACATCAATGAAAGTTTCTTCTCTGCATGGGATGGCGAGACCACCCATTGGATGATCAAATCCAAACTCTTCTTCGGCCTGACTTGGCAAATTTTGGAATGAAGGATGCTTCAAATATGCAATTGGGTCTACAAATCTCTTTTTTTCGGTTTCTCCAACATAATGCTTCAATGAAAGTCTCTGTAAATATATATATATATATATATAGATTTTCTCTGATTAATCAATTAATTAGTAACTGGGGTGTTAATTTACAAGTGGGAAGTGTTGTGATTTTGTGGAGTTTAATTAGGTGAAAGATTTTTTAGGAAGATTTAATTATATGGAAACTTCAAGAGTACTGAATTTTAGGGAAAATTCAGTTTCTTAATTTGTTAGGAAAAATTTAGTTTCCTAATCTGATTTGACTTCCTTATTGGTTTAAGGAAAATTCAGTTTCCTGATCTGATTTAATTTCCTTATTAGTTTTGGATTCTACAAAAGGCAAGTTCTTGTAGGACAAGTTTTGGCCTCCATAAATAAGGGTGAAAGTTAGAGATAAATGGGTGCCAATACAAGAGAGAGCAATTGAGAGATAATTCTCCTTGTAATTCTTCATCTTTTCATATTAATTTTGTTCAGTGTGCTCCATGGACGTAGCCCTAAGATTTGAGTGAACTATATATATCTTGTGTTCTTGTGTGTAATTTTTTTTATTCTTCGTGATAGCTTGTTTATTCCTTGAACAATGTTGTTTATTTTGCATTTCCGCCACAACAACTGGTATCAAATCCGGTTGATTGTGTAGTGCAACTTTAACAACTGGTATCAGAGCCTTTGGGTGAGAACCTAGGGTACAGAAGGTGTTTGACGAAATTTCGAAAGTCTTTCGATCAGATCTGTCCATTCGAGTGGGAGTAATGGCATCAGAAGATAAGACATCCACATCCATGATCGAGAAGTTCGATGGCACAAACTTCAGTTTCTGGAAGATGCAAATTGAACACCTCTTATTTCAGAAAAATCTGTATCAACCTTTGGGAGAGAAGCCAGAGGATACAAAGGATGCAGATTGGGAATTATTTGATAGGAAGGCTCTTGGCACCGTTAGATTGACGTTGTCAAAGTCAGTCGCCTTTAATATCAGGAACGAGAAGACGATGAAGTCTCTCATGACAGCCCTTTCTAATATGTATGAACAACCTTCTGCAGCGAACAAGGTGCACTTGATTAAGAAGTTGTTCAACATGAAGATGGTCGAAGGTGGTAAGTTCAATGAACATCTAAATGCGTTCAACGAGATAGTTGGGCAATTAGAGTCTGTTGATATCGACTTCAAAGACGAGGTCCGAGCACTGCTAATTCTAGGGCAGTTACCCGAGAGTTGGAGTGGCACAGTAACAGTGATCAGCAGCTCTGCAGGGAAGACCAAGTTGAAGTTTGATGAAGTTGTGAGCATGATTCTGATAGAAGAAATCAGAAGGCAAACAGCAGGGGTTTCCACTAGTGGTTCGGCGTTAAATGTTGAAAGCAGAGGCAAGGGTTCAAACAAGAAGAAGGGCAACAATAATAGAAACAGAGGCAGATCTAAGTCAAGGAATGGAAGGACACAGTCTCAAAATTTCAAGAATTCCATAGATCTCAATGACGTTGAGTGTTGGAATTGTGGAAAGAAGGGACATTACCGTGTTGATTGCAGACTTCCAAAGAAGGGAACTGAAAGAAAAACTGAAGCAAACTTTGTCTCAGAAGAATCAGATGATGCATTGATATGCTCTTTGGAAAGCAAGACGGAGTCATGGGTTTTAGATTCTGGTGCATCGTTTCATGGTACCTCAAACAAAGAGCTATTTAATAGCTATGAAACGAGTAACCTTGACAAGGTGTATCTTGGTGATGACCAGCCTTGCAGCGTCGTTGGCAAGGGTGAAGTGCAAATCAAGTTGAATGGGTCAGCTTGGAAGTTAAAGGATGTGAGACACATCTTTGACTTGAGGAAGAATCTGATTTCGGTGGGACAATTTTCAGATGAAAGTTTTGTTACACCCTTCAATGGAGACTCGTGGAAAGTTTCCAGATGCGCTATGACCATTGCATGTGGTAAGAAATCTGGCACTCTCTACACAACTACCGGTGCTTGTGGGTCTATAGCAGTTGCAGAAAATAGAGAAAATCACAACCTTTGGCACCAGAGACTAGGTCACATGAGTGAAAGGGGGCTCAAGATTATGCACTCAAAGGGGAAACTACCAGGCATACGGGCAATTGATATTGACTTCTGTAAGAGTTGCGTGATGGGCAAGTAGAAGAGGGTCAGTTTCAAGAAGAGTGGCAGAGATCTCAGAAAGGAGAAACTTGAGTTAGTTCACACAGATGTTTGGGGGCCAACCACTGTTTCATCCATTGGCGGAAAATCCTACTTCGTGACTTTCATTGATGATCACACGAGGAAGGTATGGGTTTATTTTTTGAAGCACAAATCTGAGGTATTTGATGTGTTCAAGAAGTGGAAGGCCATGGTGGAGAATGAGATAGGTTTGAAGATCAAGAGGTTGAGATCAGACAATAGTGATGAGTATGAAGACATTGGGTTCAAGAAGTTCTGTTTTAATAATGGGATCAGATTGGAGAGGACTGTGCAAGAAATGCCATAGTAGAATAAGGTGGCAGAACGAATGAACCGAACCTTGACAGAAAGAGCTAGAAGCATGCGTATACATTCGGGTCTACCCAAACAGTTTTGGGCAGAAGCGGTCAATATAGCATTTTACCTAATAAATCGTGGACCATCGGTGCCTTTGGAGCATCGAATACCAGAAGAGGTATGGAGTGGCAAAGAGGTAAATCTTTCATGGTTGAAAGTTTTTTATTGTATTGCATATACGCATATTAGTGACCATGCTACGGGAAAGCTCGACCTCAAGTCACTAAAATGCATTTTCGTTGGGTATGGCGGAGATGAGTTTGATTATCGACTCTGGAATAATAACAAGAAAATCATCAGAAGTAGAGATGTGATTTTCAACGAGAAGGTGATGTACAAGGATAGAGATGCAGCACAGTTATCTAGTCCTGTACAAAGTAAGCCTGAGTTTGTTGAGTTGGATGATGATCCAGAGAGTATTGACGCGGAGCAGACAGATGAGAATTCTTGGCCAGAACTCACAGAGCATAGTTCACCGTAGATTCCAACTCCTATGCCTGCACCCGAAAGGTCTACGCGACCTCATGTACCGAATAGGAAATATTTGGATTATATGTTGCTCACAGATGATGGTGAGCCTGAATGCTATGATGAAGCATGTCAGGTTGAAGATGCTAGCAAGTGGGAGCTTGTAATGGAAGATGAGATGAAGTCCCTTATCTCCAACAAAACATGGGAACTAGCCAAGTTGCCCATGGGGAAGAAAGCTCTTCACAACAAATGGGTGTATAGGGTGAAAGAGGAACATGATGGTTCTAAGAGATACAAGGTAAGAATAGTGGTTAAAGGCTTTCAGCAAAAGCAAGGCATTGACTACATAGACATTTTTTCCCCAGTTGTGAAACTGAGTACCATTCATTCAGTTCTTAGCATTGTTGCAGTAGAGGGGTTGCACCTTGAGCAGTTAGATGTCAAAACTGCTTTCCTCCATGGTGACCTTGAGGAGGAGATTTACATGCAACAACCGGAGGGTTTCTCAGTCAAAGGGAAAGAGAA